CATCCTTTTTTTTGGTGCACCAAGCTTGACCCTATTGACTTTTTTTTTTGTTTGTTTGTTTTCTCTCAGAGTAAAACAAAAATTAGTGTCTGCCTCTCCCAAGACAAATCTACCACCAATCTATCCAGGAATGAATCATGCACAGATGATGGGTACTGTACTTTTTCTATGAAAAATGTTTTTCATAGCTATTGTTTAGGTGATAACTAAGCAGTTGGAACTGACACAGGTTGCCCAGAGAAGCTGTGGCTGCTCCATCTCTGAAAGTGATCCATTCCAGGTTGGATGGGGCTTGGAATAACTTGGTCTAGTGGAAGGTGTCCCTGCCCATGGCAGAGGGTTGGACCTAGATGCCCTTTAAGGTCCCTTCGAACCCAAACCATTCCATGGTTCCATGATTCTATGAACGACTGGGCAGATTTTATCTGTAATGCCAGAGAGGCTTGGATAGCTCATGATTTTTAATTCAGGACATTGTTCCACTTGGAACAGATTCTGTATTTTTAAACCAGATAGCTAAAATAGTAAGAGATCACATTTTTCTTATTCGTTTGAACCAGGGCACATTAGTATGTTGAACACTCATGTGTAGAGCTACAGTTTCTATAGTTACTAGTGCATCAGTGTTTCATTGAACTGCTGCAATATTCATTTTATAGCTCTGCTTTCCCCTTACTACAAGAGAACATTTGTAAAGAGAATTTTTGGTGGGCTCATCCCATTGTATGTACTTTAAGTTTCTTAGGAATCTCTATTAACTGACAGAGTGTTACTTGTTAATGAAGCAGGTGTAACACAGCTGAAAATTATAATTTGAGGTGTAGTTTTCTGTGTGTCTCTAGGAAATTGGATGGTGGATCCCTGGCTGGAGAGAACATGCAGAACCTCATTAGAAGAAGCAGAATGGTCTCGTTTTCATCTTTTAAAATTGCAGTTTGCAATATGGAAACTTGAGGAAAGACATGAAAATTTTGGCATTTCTTCTGTTCCAAAGGAAATTATTTTGGCCACAGAAAATGCCAGCATGTTCTTCTCCCTCAAATCCCCTGGAACTGTCTGATGGAAACCCAGTTCTGCTCCCACAGCAGAGCCACAGCTACCCCACACATCTTCTTCCCACCCATTTGCTGGGCCAAGGCTGCCCAGGCTGGTAAAACACACATTTCCCTTAACTTGCTGCTGTTTGATTTTAAAGCAAGCCAGAGGAGTTATTAATTCTGAGCCTGGCTAGGCTCAGAAAAAGGTTTTCCACCAAGTTCAGCTGGACCAGAGCACCTGGGGTTGTTGCTGTGCCCCAAACCAAACATCCTTCATAACTTCAGGACAACACAGGTAAACTTTCTTAAGAGTGCAGTGAAAGGCTCAGGCTAAAAGCGACCACAATGATCACTGGGGAAAGGAAATCAACATATAAAAGAGAAAACTGCCTTTTGAGTGGCAGATCAGAGCCTTCCATCCCTGCTTGGGAAGTGAAAGCTTCAAATCATATTTTATCAACTTGTAGAAATGAATAATGCAGCTTCTCTGGTTGAACCCTCACCTGTTGCACACATCTCTGATTACAAATGGTATCTACAGTCCCTAGAAAAATATGTTACTCGATACTAAAACTTTACTTTGGACCTTATTTGGGTTTTATAAAATGTATTTTGTGGTTTTCCTGGTGCCAACCTATAATGCAGGGCACCGATTTGAGTTTTGTCCTTTCTATAAAGCACCGAGAACTTGCTCTCAGCAGCACACAGAGGTGCTGGACACACCACTGTGCTGCCGTCTCCATTGCCATCTAGTGGCATCGTCCCTGGTCCCATCCAGCCCCGCAGAAAACCCTGACCCAGAGCCCTGAAAAAAAGTGGGGTTCCTCCTTCTGCTGAAATCAAAACATGCCAATCAGATTTCATTTGTTTGTTTCTTTTTCCTTCTGATATTCTATTAAACTAAGTCTAAAAAGGGAATTATCAGTATTTGCTCCCACTTCTGTCTCTGGCACAAAGGCAGATGGGCTGCAGGGAGAGGGGCAGAGGAAACTGAAGGGTGCAGCTGGTGGGACAGGGAAGCATCAAGGCTCTTCTGCACACCCAGGCGTAGGAGAGACCATGGCAGCAGGAGAACGGCAGGAAGTTCTGTAGAACCATCTGTGTATCATCCAAAGCTTTTATTTGCTGTCATTTTAAAACCTCCAGGAAGCTTCCAAACAAACTCCCCACCAGAGAAAAAAAAAAAGATCATCGACTGCCTGGGATTGTCTACAATAAATAATGTTCAGTTCCTCCTGCTTGCACTCCCTCTGGGTGCTCATTTGTTTTCCTTCCCTGCGGCATCTCCTCAACACCAACCACTGTTTGCTTGTATTCTTTAACTGCATGAGTCACCCTTAGCAAAACACAGGTAACACAGGACTTTGACCTCACTTACCTACTGCAGGTCTGGCAGAAACTCCATGGCTTTAACAGGGTTGGTCTGTGGATGAAGAAGGGAAGCAAAGGTTCTTCTTCCCCAGCAACCAAAAACCTCCTTTTGCTCTCCAAAGCAATTATCTTCTGTCTCAGGAGGAGAGGGTGAGTCAATAAGAGACACCAACCCACAGGGTCTTAATGTCACCTGCTGCCTGCAGCTCCTGTATCCAAGAGGTGCTTTATTAACACTATGAATTCAAACTCTCCTCCTTGGAGACACCACGATGACCTGCAACAAAGTCTGGCATCATGGATCCACCCCTGCCAGGAACAGCAGCTGGAAATGGGTAACAACTGACAAAAACCACACACACAAGTACCTGTGAAATACTGATTATATTTCTATGCTTTCATAGCAATATAATACTTCAAAGGAGACTGGGAAATATACTTTCCAACATTATCAGTTACCTGTACACCTAAACAACCTGTTTATGGAACA